CATGATGAGACACTGCTTATTCATTGAAGTCCACAAGTCATTACACTTTCCATACTTCTTCTAGTACTGGACTGCATTAAGCAAGAGTGCCATGCAAATTTTGCACCAGTTTTCATTGTAGGTGCTGTTGGTCTCTTCTTTCTCTCTTCTTCATGATCTTAAATGATTGTTTAAGGTTCATTTGGTGTACCTACAGTAATTTACCTGTACTGATGTGCAGAAAGATACACTCAGTCATCAAAATGCACCTGTGCTATAGGTAACCATTTGGATTGTTAGTGAAATAGTTAAATGTTCTCTGTCTTGCCTTAGCTCTTTAAAAAGACTGCTGCATCATGGGAAGATCAATTTCCTTGTATGGTTGGGCCAAGCTCTCTAGGAAGAAATATTTACTAAATTCAAGCCAAAATCTTTTTATTTCTGTCATGACAGCACTGGTTGATATCCCTCCTCTGCACAACTGGGGTGGACTTCCAGGAGATGTGACCATTACACATCTGTGAATGCTGGCTGTGCCAACTGGTCAAGGAACTGCATCCACTGTTGACTGTATGTCAATGAGAATAGTTGCCTCATGGACAGCATTTGTAAGTATTTGCTCTGTATTTTTTTTTAACTGTTTTGATGTTGTGGAAATCATTCATACATAGTACGTGAAAGAATTTCTGCTAAGCCAAAGCCAAAGCAGAAAAAAGAATTATTCAGGGGAAGGAGTTTTCCATTGGAAAATTCAGTTATAAAACAATACAGGGTCTATCTAAAGATATTTAACAATTATTCTGCGAGTGCGCATTGGATATGAGATGATAGATAGCCAACGAGGCGCGTAGCGCCGAGTTGGCTGTAATCATCTCATATCCAACAAGCACGAGTGGAATAATTGTTTTATTAAAAACGTTGAATTAAATTATTAAATTTTATTAAATTTTTAGTGCCCTTTTAATTTTAAGCTGACACGTACGCTTACCAAATCTGTAGATTATGGTATATTGGCTGATATACCATAATGGCTAAGCCAATAAAAAGTCTTGAATTGCATTATCTAATGATCTAGTTTTTAAAAATCCCAATTAAGCTACTAACCACTTTTTTACCAGTCTTGGAGGCCAATGATGATAGCTTGCCTTCAATAAGTGAGTGGATAGCCTGCCATGATGGAAAAAAAAATTGCAAAAACAATTGGCATGTTTAGTCAAAGTCTGGCTTGGTTATATTTTCTAAAATGCTTTGCTATCTGGAACATTCAGTAACATCTTGTTAGCTTAGCTGTCACTGCTGCCAAATACCAGCTAGCTGTAGGCTGAAACAGCTAGTACAATGAAAAATATCACGTACCTGTAGCAAAACAAAGTGATCAGGGTGTTCTGGTAAGCTAAGAAGTTTTGACAAAGATGCTACACCAGCTTTAAGATCTGGATTGTCAACTAAAATTATGAAAGAAAAAAATAGCATACCACTCTTACTACATTTAATTATTGGTTGGAATCCAGAGACTAATTTGTCAACAGTTTGTTACAAATAAGCAACTTATGATTTGTTGTCAGCCATGATCTACTTGAGTGAGATGCACAGCTGACATCCAAAAAATAATAAATTATCATGATGGTGGTGATGAAAATGACAGCAATCACCATGACAGTGACATTGAATGATGAAGATAATTTTAAAATGGGAAGGGGAATTCAGCAGTGGAGACTGCCTGATCAGGTAGCTCTTCTTGTCTGCTGTTTCCAGGTCAAATTGAGATTAGTAAAGTGGGTTTTTGTGGGAGAAGGAGAAATTCAGAGGGCCAGCAGAAAACCCTCAGGAAGAGACAAGAATCAACAACAAACCCAACCCACATTTGACATCCGGTCTGGAATCCAACCCAGGCCATGGCTAGTGCTCTAACACCACTGCGTAATTGCCACTCCCCCCTGATTGTTTTGTATGATGCATTGTTAATTACTGCTCATGTGTTAATATGACAAAGCTACATCACTGAATCCAGACCAGGCAAAACTTAAGGTCTACAGGAGAGGAGCAAGTGGATGGGGGTCACATTCTCATTGAATCCCTGGACATTTTGGATGATGTTTACTGTAGGTGCTCTTGACTGATATATCAATCCATATATTGGTTGAGAGTTGAGTGTTGACCAACTATCGACCAAGTGTCTACAGACTATTGACAGAGTGTTGACCAACTATTGACCAAGTGTCTACAGACTATTGACAGAGTGTTGACCAACTACCGACCAAGTGTTTACAGACTATTGACTGAGTGTTGACCAACTATTGACCAAGTGTCTACAGACTATTGACCGAGTGTTGAGCAACTATCGATCAAGTGTCCACAGACTATTGACAGAGTGTTGACCAACTATCGACCAAGTGTCTACAGACTATTGACCGAGTGTTGAGCAACTATCGACCAAGTGTCTACAGACTATTGACCGAGTGTTGACTGACCATTGACTGAGTGCAGACCAACATATCGGTCGAGTATCGACAAACACCTACAGTTAACATGATCCAACATTTTTAAATGTAAGGTATATCCAATTTCAATGTTTGGGGCATGTGACTACAACAACCAGGCCCACCATGACCCAACAAACAAGGCATTAAAAAATTACCGACTAGAGCACTTGCATACCAAGTCATGCCCATGGCATATTTCCCATTTTGCAGAATGATGCAATTGTCTATACTTTCACTACAGTTATCTTAACTTTGATGGCCATGTCACATGCACTTCAAATCTTACTTTCCGAACAGTAAACTTTATGTATGAGCATACATGGGGTGCATGTATAGTTTCCACAGAATAAATTTAAAATACAACACTCAAAAGAAATGTTAATACCAGTCAAATTGATTAGGCTGTCATCAAGTGATTGCTCTTCTATTACTTCAACCTTTTCTTTCTTGACAGTTTGCACAGCAGCACTGTATGTTTCAGCTAAAGAAGAAGCAAAATCGTTTAAGAATAGTTTGCCCTCAAGACTAGAGTCCCACAGTTCCTTTCTAAGTTGAATTAAAAGCAATGAGTCATAAGCAGCTGAAGCCTTTAATTCCCAAGCTCTCATGATTATATAGTAATTCTCCCCTCTACCTAACACACCTTTCTTTGTTAATTGGCTAGGAGAATTTGGTATAAGATCAGGATAACAACTTTTACTTGATAAGTTCGTGTATTTTTGTACCATCTTCTGCCATCAAGGAAAAAATCTAGTTATAATTTAAGGCATAAAGATTGAGATATATAATTTGCCAAGTTCTCACACTGAACGTTTTTGACGCTCTTTCTGTTATGCGCACAATATAGCTCCTCAAGTTTCAAAGAAAGTCGACTTCAATTTAGATTATATTCATACATATTCTAGATTTATTGTATTAGGCATTTACATTTATATGATTGTATTTAGCTCTGTATTTTAACCAATGTTATCTGTAAAATATGCAATTCAGTTTTACGACACTGCAAATTAAGTATTATTCAATAAACGATCTCTATCTATCTATCTATCTATTCTTATTAATTACCTATTTGCTGAATAATGTATTGGATATCGTAGGGAGAAGTTACACGTTAATCACTTCTGGAAGTTTAAGGGTTAAATAAGCCAGCATCCTTGTCTGGTTTTGCTGCCAGTTAGCCAGTACCTATTTATACTCCTTGGTGGAGAGTAAGCAGTCTGTAATGGTAAAATGTCTTGTCTAATAAAACCACAAAATGACTGGCTACGATTCAAACCCAGAGCCTGGTTGTTTGAAGTCCAATTAGCATGCACTGTTACTTAAGGTCACATTTTAAATCAAGTTTTTTTATTCCCATAAGCCTTTTTCAGATAATTTTCTGTATTCTTTTAGGCTATCCAATCATTAAATTGTAGACAAACTTTAGGAAAAGGTTTTAATTTTCTTATAAAGCTTTCAAATCAAAAATCAGATTTCAATGTAACCTTGGGTTATCTTAACCCAGCTTTGAACTGAACCAAACACAGAACTCTTGACTCATAATCTAGGCCTCATAACCTTCTGCTATAGACCACTTTCATAAATGGCTGCCGGATTAATATTCTTTTGTTTAAATTTAAATTAGCCTTGCTGACCTCGTTTTCCAGTACAAAATTCAAAAGAATACATTATTTCAAGCGAGGCCAGAATTAAGGGCTAATTTAAATTTAAACAAAAAAAATATTAATCCAGCAGCCATTTATGAAAGTGGTCTATACCATGTCTCTTTAAATCTACTGACTAATTCACATCAGTGAACACAAGGCTGTGCTCTAAGAAAAATTAAAGGGAGCCCAGTGCTCTGAAACTGTGAAATCCAGGGTGCCCAGTATATGCTATTTTAATGAAAAAAGAAAGATTCCTGAGTCACCCAAGAGCAAAAGTAAGGCACCAGGGGCCACCGGGCACTACTTGACCACAGCCCTGGAACATTGTTGATCCAAGAATGAAGGAAGCAAATAATTGGAGTTGGATCTTTTCCTTTGTTAGCCAAACAGTGCCAAATGAGGAATAACTCTTGGTGCTTATTCGACACAACAGAAAAAAATAAGATAGATGCATGCACACACAGAGCATTATGCCATTTGCATACACTAATTTGTAGTGATTGGGAATGAGCCTACCGAGACCGCCTCCCGGTTAGCTCAATGGATAGAGCGCTGGACTGTAGTGCGGGAGGTTGAGGGTTCGAGCCCTGGCCGGACCAACACTCAAGGTCTTAAAATAATTGAGAAGAATTTGCTACCTTTCTATAACATCAAGAAATGGTTGGATATTCTAGTCTTCTCGGATAGGGACGAATAAATGGAGGTCCCGTCTCCTGCAGGGTTGGGG